GGGGACAGGAATGGAATGACTGGGTCACCTCAACTTGAGCAGCCCGAAGGAGGTGATGTGTTTGCCCTGAAACCCGGTCGGCGGGTGAGTGATGACCATGTGCACAGGTTAACAGCCTTCCTTCCATCAGAAATGGCACCAGTGACTAAAAGGAACTAGGCAGAAATCAGCACTAAGTCAAATATTTGAAGGAAGCTGATAAGGTCATCCTTTGAGGGCCACAGGCCATGGGTGGAGAAGACTGAGCAGGGGCGGCATCATCAGCCTGCTGGACGCCAGGGGAGGTCACCTCTGTCCATACTCTTCAGCCATCTGCCAGGAATAGAGTCGAAAGCAGGCTGTACTCCTAATATCGCCGTATTACCAAGGGGAAAGGTTGGCTTTTGGATGTTGAAAGAATATGGCAATTTGACACAAACACTCTAATTTGGTTGGTTTACAAAAGGGCTGTGTGATGGAAATGGAATATGAGGAGCTCAGGGGACACACTGCAGCCACGTTAAGCATGAATTATGGATAAGGGAACGGAGTAAGATGACAGCAGCTTCCAGCTCTGGCCAAATACCCGCTTAGGGAACGAATTATTGCTAGACTTTAACAAAACAATGCTGCTGTTTTCTGGGCCAAGGAACTGGAAAGTTCTTTTTATACTTTGCTAATGGGAGACAGGTCATCTGTGGATCTGATCCTTGTCATGGAGCAGTTGAACCTGTCCCCACCTGCCTGCAGTTAACGAGGCTGCAGCTGAACTCTGCTGTGCTGGAAATGGCGCCGTGTGACTTAAGTAGGCTGATGGAGAGTTAAAAATACAAGTTGCCTTGGCAAGGCTTTTGCAAACACCTGCCTTGCAGGCTGTCCTCCCACACAGCGACCTTGGGAAAGCCAGGAAAAGCTGAGTAGGGGGAGCCAGGGTGTAACCGTGCTCCCCGGGGCGCTGGCGGTGTCTCTTTCCTCTTGCAGAATTTGCACGTGGCTGTCAGCAGGGGCTTGGTGGTGGACCAGCCTGGTCCTAGGAGAACTCACGACTCTGAGGAGGACGTGGTGGCTGCTCAGCCCTCTAATCTGCTTGTTGAGCAAGTCAGCAAGGGACTGGGCTCCATCTCACAGAGGAAGGGCTGGCACCCCGAGAGTGGCTCTGACGGGGTGGCAGTGGTCAGGGGGCCTGCTGAGGAGCTAGCCGCCATGTCTATCTTAGAGAAACGACAAGGCAGCGTTTGTCCTAGTGTTGGGCAAGGGAAGAAAAGACAGGGCGTGACAGCTCAGCTGGGGGGGCGTCCCCTTCCCTTCCTAGGGAACGAAACGGCCCCCAGTGCAAAGCAGTCAAACGGCTGCTTCTGGAAGCCCATGCTGGGCATCAGAGGCCCAAAGTGGGCTAGGAACAACATGGCACCCGCCGGAGCCCAGCAAGAGGGAATCTGCCATCGCACATTAGAGGCAGCGCTTGTCCAAGTCGCCGCAGGCCCCTGCAGCGGTAGCCAGGTAACCATCTGGCCTGGCTGTGTGGGTGTCGCGGGCAGGCCTGTGTGGCTCACAGCACCTCGGCCCGGCCGGCCAGCGTCGTGAGCTCAGTGCTGCTGCAGCTGCTGCTCAGAGCGAAGGCTCCGTCAGGCAGCGGGAGACAGCCCTCTTGGAGCCCCTGTGGTGGCCTGCCTGGAATAGCAGCCGTGGGACAGTTGTCATGAGAAGGCTGGACCCTCACCGGGGTAAGCCGTTTCTCTGCAACTGTAAGCAAAGTGTGTTTGCAGTGGCCAGCATCTGCCATCTAACACGTGTGGTGGGAAGCGCTAGCCCCTGGAACGTGGGGCCTTTAGCTCTCAAGAGGGGGGATGGGGGTGAAGGACTTCATCTTGGGGGTGTCAGCCTTCCCTTTCAGGAAGGACCAAGCCCTTTTCTTGGGGAAATTCCGTTTCCCTCCGATCAGCTGAAAGCCTGGCCTTCAGACAGGGCGGGGAGCTGTGCTTTGTAGAAGGTGCTGCCGTTCATGGAGTATCTCTGAGACATCAATTATTGCCTGGGCAACAGCAGCACCACGGCGGCACATGGCTTGGGTTGCAAAACACACTCTAGTGGCAGAGACGAATTCTCGGGGCGGGGGGGGGGGGCTGCAGTCCCTTCAAGAATCTGATGAGAGGTAACCACGTTTTTTCCCAGAAAATGCCCTCATGCACCATTTCACACACAGCGGGTCCTTGAATAGCATCATTTTATTCAATGTCATTTTGTTATAACATTGAGGAAAAAATTGATTCCCGGCTGGGGCCACTGTCTGTGTACAGTCTGGACGTCCTCCCAGTCTGTGAGTTTTCTGGGCACTCGTTTCCTCCCATGCCCCAAAGATGTGCAGGTGAAGTTTGTTGGTGTCTGGTCGCAGTCTGAGTGTGTGTGTGAGGTGAGCGTGCCCTGTGATGGGAGGGCGTCCTGTCCAGGGTGGGTCCCTGCCTTGCACACTGAGCTGCTGGGATAGGCTCTGGTCGCCCACCACCTTGAACTGGAATAACAGTTGGAAAATGAAAGAAGGAATGAATAAAAATTATTGTAAAATAAAAACTGCCTCCCCTAACCATACACATGCACAATAGTAAGTGACGCTGTGCACGAGTGCCCAGTGAGCCCAGCCTGGTGTTTGACCTGTGTGGTGGAAGGAGGCGCTCCTGACATTTTGCTTTGCAAACATTTATTTTGTGATATGACCCACCATCGCTACAACTGCCAACACCCACTGAAGTCACCAAAAATTGGATAATTACCTTGTTTTCAGTAATTTTTCTTAAATGTATGTATAACTCATGTCTACTTAATGTTTAATATTAGAAGTGTTTGGTTTCAAGTTCTAAAGTTTGGGGATGTTTTTATGGCCAGCAATATGCCGTGGGAACTTAACTCTTGTTTACATCCATTAGCCTATAGTAAAATTAGTTTCATTATACATCATTTTGCTTAAAGTTGCAAGTTCTTTTTTTGAGACAAAGTCTCGCTCTATTGCCCAGGCTGGAGTTTAGTGGTGCGATCTCCACTCACTGCAACCTCTGCTTCTCGGCTGCAAGCGATTCTCCTGCCTCAGCCTCCCGAGTAGTTGTGATTACAGGCATGCACCACCAGGCCTGGCTAATTTTTGTGTTTTTAGTAGAGATGGGGTTTCGCCATGTTGGCCAGGCTGGTCTTGAACTCCTGATCTCAGGTGATCTGCCTGCTTCGGCCTCCCTAAGTGCAGAGATTACAGGCCTGAGCCACCTTGCCCGGCCAAAATTAGTTTCATTATACCTCATTTTGCTTACAGTTGCAGTTCTAAGAATACCTATTGATGACGGTTGGTGATGAGTTACTGTACCATGTTGCAGGTCTCCTGGATCCTGGGCTGGGAGCCCCTGTAGTGGCGGTTCTGGGAAAACGCACGTGACTGTGGGTTTACAAAACAAAACCATGGTGGGAGGTAAGATTTCAAGGGGGTGGAAAGAGAGTTGGAACCGTGGCATACCAGGGGATTATCACTGTATGCCTTGCCCAAGTTAAAATAACTTGACCAATAAATAAATTCAAAGCATTTAATATTAGAACAGCTACGGACATCATAAAGCAGAAAAGCAAGTCCGACCGTGTTTTGAGACGCGACATGAGATCTTCCGCGTTTCACCGTCCAGCTCCCCCGGCAGCATGCTTGAGTGTCTCCACCTGTGGGGAGCCGGGGATGGCGGCATCTCTGGGAGGGACTCAGGAGGAAAGTAGAGGACCAATCGGCTGAAACCTCAGAACTTGTGAAACAGGGGTCTGGGTAAAGGTAAGGGGGCTTAATTTGGATAAATGTTGGCTTATAAAGGAGCATTTCTCCTTCCCCTGTCAGTGTGATTGATTCCAGGGTGTTCAGGTTTGCAGCAGAAAACGCTGCCTGAAGTTGGTGTGCTTGAAGGTAACAGCTTGGATCCAATAAATTTTCCTTTACAAAACCCAGGCAACTTTCATGAGTGGCAGGTATGTTACAAACAGGCTTTGCGGTGGGAGGGTCTACACTTGTGAGATTTTTATACTGGACCAGCTGCTGGCTGCTGTAATTCTGGGTCTAATGACTTTACACTCAGTTACCTTTAATTGCTGCAAACTAGGAAGGGAGAATGCCCCCGCAAAATGAACTGGGAATGCAGACTTAGAAGGGGCTGCTTTTTGAAAAGAAAAATATTTTCCCCCGTGGTCCAGATGCATTAAGACTATGAGAGAGAAAGGGCGGGGCTTGATGAGAACCTTCTAAAGCCAGGTCACCAGCAAACAGTCTGACCACCCCATGACGACAACGAAGGTAAACAAAACCCTGCATTTGCTGCCTACAGGCCGTCTCCACTTAGGAAGCCAGCTGGCTGAAAGGAAGCAGGACACCCTCCGGTCCATCTGCCGCAGGAAGGCGGGTCCGAAGGAAAGCACTCCGGACGGGAGGCCACGCTTCCCAGCCGCAGCTCTGTCTGCTCCGTTCCCCTCTGTAGTTGGAGATGAATGTGGAGTAGCTGCATACCTTAAGCAATCTGAAAAACCTTCCAGAACCTTCAAGACGTGAAGGTTCCAGGCTTTGGAGTCATGGCCAGCATTTCTCGCTGATATATACGCATGTGCAACTGAGAGGACTCGGGTTTTCTCTGGAACGAGTGTGGATAGACGGTTCCCACGTGGCAGGTACTTCCGCATCCTCAGGTACCTTTTCGCTTCCTCATGGCTCCTTGTACCTTTTTGTTTTATCAAGAGTTGTATATTTTGTCTTTTTATTTTTTTGTCAAAAACTGCTTTTGAGCCGGGTGCAGTGACTCACACCTGTAATCCCAGCACTTTGGGAGGCTGAGGCAGGCGGATTATTTGAGGTCAGAAGTTTGAGACCAGCCTGGCCAACATGGCAAAACCCTGTCTCTACTAAAAATACACAAATTAGCCAGGTGTGATGGCAGGAGAATCACTTGAACCCAGGAGGCAGAGGTTGCAGTGAGCCGAGATCAGGCCATTGCTCTCCAGCCTAGGTGACAGAGCGAGACTCCACCTAAAAAAAACAACAAAAAACCCCTGCTTTTGACTTTATAATAACTATTGGTTTTCTATTCCGTTAATGTCTGATTTTATCCTGATTTAACCCCTGCCTTCTGCTTGCTTTGGGATTGCGGCTACCTTTTCTGAGCTGAGGTGCCAGCCCCTCCCAGCCTCATCCCCTGGGTTTTGTATTCAGTGCTTTTACTGTCAACCCAGTCTAGAGAGTTTATAGTTTGTTTTTATTAACTTCTTTAAATCCAAGTGAATTCGGGAGTGTCTGGAATTGTCTTATGTTGCTTTTTGTTGATTTCTCACTATTCTGCATGGGGGTCAATTCCTAGAAAAGCAGGGTGCAGTGTCTGAGGGTGCGGCCCACAGGGTGCAGTGCCCGAGGGTGCGGCCCACAGGGTGCAGTGCCCGAGGGTGCGGCCCACAGGGTGCAGTGCCCGAGGGTGCGGCCCACAGGGTGCAGTGTCTGAGGGTGCGGCCCACAGGGTGCAGTGTCTCGGGGGTTGGAGGGGTTCTATAATTTGGCCTGTATGGTGCGAATCTTTGCGTATCTGACCTGTTCTTTGTGGCCTTCGTACAGGGTGGTTTTTTGTCATGTTCTATGTGTATCTGAAATTCTATACATATCTATTGGATCCAGCTTGTTAGCGATATTAAGTAAATCTTCCAGATCTTTACGTTTTTCTCACTGATTTGCCTGCTATGAGAATGGATTTTATTGCTCTTTGTAGTTCTATCAGTTTTTGCTTTGATATTCTGAAGGTATATTAGGTGGATGCTGTTGCGTTTAGAACTGTTGAAAATCAAGAGTAAGGCAATGGCTTGCTTCCAGAATACTTTGGAAATGGCAGCTCTGTATCACACTGAACAGTTCTCTCCTGTCCTGTTCATCTTGATGGCTGTTTAGTCAATGAATATTTAGAAAATATTTGCTTTGTAACACACATCATAGACACAACAGTAAGCAAAATAGTCATTAATGACTAAACTGTGTAAGTATATAATTATAAACCATGGTAAAAGCTGTGAAGAAAAAGTACTGCTCTACCAGCTTGCTACTGGAAGGTGGTGGTGGCAAGTGTCACAGAAGAGCACCCTAAGTAAATACAGGGAAAAGGACATGGAGGTTATTGCCTTGGAGGCCAGGGACAAGCACATCCAAAGGCCCTCGGAGGAAAAGAGGGAAGGGACTGGAGACTGGAAAGACGGCCTGCAGGGCTGGAGCTGGGAAGGCGAACACAGAGAAGCTGGTTGAGCAGGGACCATATGGGACCCCACAGCGAGATCCCTGAGGTGTCCTGAGGGAGCTGAGGCCAGAGTGGCCGGCTGGGTGGGGAAGGAGGCTACGTTTGTGTTGGCAGCATGTGCGACTTGAGCCCCAGCATACACCAGGTTGCCCCAGGCGCCGGGGAAGTGCAAGGGTCAGGGAGACACATGCCGTCAGGCACAGCACCCTGGGCCGCCTTCTTCCCCTAAACATTTACCACCCGTGCAGAGCCGCCTGGAGTTTTAATGTGGATAAAACTGGTTCTTCCCATTTTTCTCCTTGCTCCTGAGGCACGTCCCTAAACGTGGTTATAGGGAAAGGCCAGTGCGAGGTCATAGTAGTGAGTGGCCATGGCGTCACAGGATGAACGGCAGACAGGCAGAGGGCTCTGGAAGGCCAGCTGGTCCACTGCAAACTCGTAGGCACGGATCAGCCCCCGGTGTCTAGAAAGAGCACAAAGATGGTGACAGGTCAGGGCAGCCTCGCTGGCCTTCACCCCGGCTGCTTCTGTCTTTGCAGGAGGCATTCTCCTGAGACCAGACAGAGGTTCATCTTCACAAAGGTGTCCTCCGGGCACACAGCATCAGATACTCACAGTCCCAGGCTTAGCGGTCAACATGGGGGTGCACAAGTCGGATGGGTGCAGTGAGTGTCACAGGGCAAGGACTCAAGAGGATGGGCCTTGCCCCTGTGACAGGATTCTAACCACAGCAGACCCCTCAGCATACGGCCTGCCCTCCCTCTCTGCACAGCCGGCAGCGTGGACTCGCCCCATGGGGCTGTCGTGCATCAGATGCTAGGCGCTCAGTACAGGTCAGCATCGATGTTTACGTTCCCAATTCCTAGAAAGGCAGGGCCCTGCCTGAGGGTATAGCTCATAGTGTGCAATGTGTCATGGGGGCGGGGGTTCTATACATCAATCAAACTAAGATGGTCTCTGACTCGCCCAGCCCCACCACTAACCTCCTGTGAGTAGTGAAGCTGTCCAGGTCGACGTTTCGCATCACCGTCTGGTAGGGCACGTTGGCCGTGATGAGGCTGTGGCTGCTGAATGAGATGTGCTGCACGGGGTGTCTGGAAGGCAGCGGGAGAGAGCTCGTAAGGGGGCATCCACTGGGCCTGCACACAGCCTGCACTTGCTGCCACAGACCTGGGAGTTCAAAGCTGCAGGGGATTCTAGAACCCATAAAGCGAAGCTTCTCTTTCAGGGGGAACAGGCCCCCACGGAAGCAGAGTCTCACCCCAGCTCCCAAGCTCAGGTGAGCAGGCCGTGCTTTGGGCATGACTTTGTAAACAGGTCTGCATGCCCCGTACGCATGCTGGCATCTGCCCCAACCACCTGGTACATTCCAGACATAAAGGACACTCCCTACTGGAGATGAATCAACCACGTGCAACAGAGACTGGTCCACCGCTGCCTCCCTGGGCAAGTCCCTTGCAGCTCTCCCAGCCAGGCTGTCCATCATCTATGAGCACTGGGGGCACGTTCACTGCTGATCCAGGAAGGCGCCCCCGATCCGGCTCACAGGGCTGCAGTGACACACGTCCCCTGGGTGGTGAAAGCACGTTTGGGAAATCTGGGAACAAAATGGCTCCAAGTCTGTGGAACAGAGGTTTGCGTTTTTTCTGAAACTTTTGTGCAGTACCTGCTGTGGTCACGGCACTGAGCTAGGAGACACTGAATTAAAAAGATGTCTCATCCAGGTGCATGCCTGACCCAGGGAGGGCCCTAGCTAGTGAAGAAGGTAAGATGCAGTCCCAGAAAACATGACTAATGCTTCTGTAGCACGAGCGAATTTACAAGCTACAAAGCCTGCGTGATGCAGAATTCAGTGCTGGGAGGAGGAGCAGAAGGGGAGGAGGGCTGAAAGGGTCTGTTGGGAGGGGTGCACAGGAGGGGACGAGGCCTGTGTGGGCTGGGCCAGGGCTGCTCCCAGGATGGCTGGGGCTGTTCTCCTTGACTAAAGCAGAGGGTTCTTGGGAGTGAGGGAAGCTAGGGAGCAGTCCCTACCTCCCCGGGGTTGGGACACCCACAGCAGGAACGTGGTGGTGGATTTGAATGGGGCCTGGAGGATGAGAAAGACCCGCAGAGGGAGGGCAGGCTTGGTGGAGGCCTGCAGCATGGCAGACTGACGGCACCCTGTCAGGCAGGCGAGGACCTGGGCTGAGGAGACTGAGGCCTGGCAGCAGGCACTGCAGGTGAGGCCTTGAGTAAGTCAGTGAGTTCTGGGCAGGAGACCGTGTGTCTGTCAGCCTTGTGCTGGTGACAAACTGTTTTCACCGCATGGGGGACAAGCCCGGGTCGCACAGGGACAAAGGCAGTGCTGGGACAGGGCCACACCTCTGGGGAAGGCCTTCCTTACCTAGGCTTCATCTCAGTGGCCTGTACTGGGGGTGCAGCTTTGTAGAGAGAAAAATGAGACCTGCTAGAGTGTGGGGCCGGCAGCTATCCCTGAGGACCTGGATGGCTGATCCAGCAACGCTTTAAAACAAATGCTGACTTTTCCTCAAAGGCAAATGCTTCCGGGAATTTCGGTGCAGTTTTAGTTGCCATTTGGCACCACCTGGTGGCAATTCAGTGCATCAGCATGGAAGTCAGAAAAAGGGCCCAGGCGACAGGGACAGCCACAGCGAGGGGGCGGGCCTAGGCAGTACCCAGGGCTCTGTGTGATAAAATCTGCCAGCCCGTGTTGGCCAACACCGCCCTCCAAGGAAGAGGCCCATTCTGCGTGTACGCCTGCCGCCTCTCGGAGACGCCTGGCAAACTGCTGGCCTTGCATAAAGAGCAGGTCGCTGCTCAGGTCAGGTTCTCAGAGGCCGGTTTACCTGGATTTGCAGTAAGCGGGGAACAAATCTGAGTTCACTGCGAGGGCCTGGCCCTGTTTCTGCTCTTCTGTGTTGTCATGCTCACAGGCCACTGGCCCAGAATCATCTTGTTTTTGTAGAGATGGGGTTTCATTCTGTCACCCAGGCTGGAGTACAGTGGCACAGTCCCTGCAGCCTCAAACCCCTGGGCTCCATGGAGCAATCCTCCCCAGTCAGCCTCCGGAGTCACTGGGACTAGAGGTGCATGCCACCATGCCTGGAGGATTTTGAAAGAGGCAGGGTCTCCCTGAGTTGCCCAGGCCAGTCTCAAACCCCTGGCTTTGAGAGCTCCTCAGTGTCCTGAGTGGCTGGGATTACAGGTGAGCCAGCAGGCCTGGCCGGACGTCTCTTCCCAGCGGTGCTGAGGGGCAGCGAGGGAGAGGGCCCGCTGCCTTTATCCCCACCTGTCTCAAAGGCAGGGTCTCCAGTTCAAGGCCTGCAGGGCGAGGCAGAGGTGGTGGCGGTGGCCTCAAGTCAGCTCTGACGAGCCTGCCCCAGGCTGGGCTGCTGCTCTGAAGGTCAGGAGCAGGCTCACTGGAAATGTCTTAACCAGTTAGGCACCAATGGCATAAACCTACCCACATCTGTGACGCCAACAGCCTGTGCTGAGGGTAGTGTATATCTCCAGTAATGGTGTTAAAGGTGCAAACGACAAATTCCTCCTTCACTGGAGCCTCTATGAACCCCTTCAGTCTTAAGTGCTCTTCTATGTAAACGGCACGAGGACAGTCTAAGCAGCAGGCAGTACCATGGTTACACATGACAGACTCGAGTGGAGGACAGCGGCCGGGCCAGCCCTGCCTTCCACCTGTGGGCAGGTGGGGTGTCACATCCTGGCCTAGCCCAGCAAGTTTCCTATGTTTTCGAGTTCCCTTTTCTGTTTATTAAGATGGAGAAATCCTAAAATAATCAGAATAGCACTTGCAAAAAAGTAGTTTCATTCTTAGAGAAAGCTGGGCCTGACTAATATTCGAATTGTGGCGATCTGAATGATGTCAGAGACAGGAACTGCATCCCCAGTGCCCAGCGCCATTTCCAAGCCTGTTTCCTCCTCTGCAGAGCGGTGCTGGTACAGCAGCTGGCTCCTAGGGTCACAGTGAGGATTCACATGCGAAGCTGGGGGGTAGGGGGCATTTAGCACCATTCCTGGTGCAGGCTGATTAGTGCTGCCTTCCCTGTTGCTACTAGAAACTCCCAAGAGTGTCTGGAATGCACCTTACCCAGAATACACCTCCCACAGCTTTTGGTTCGTCCGATAATCCCACACGGACACCAGGCCTTCCTCGCCTCCGCTGACGATCTTCCAGTCGTCCATCTGCACGGCAGAGACCCCAAGCTGGTGGGCAGCGAGCGACAGGGCGATGTTACCGCTGCGGAGGTCGTGGATCCTCACCCTGGACAGGCCCAAGAAGAGCAGAGAAGGGAAATGGGGTTAGAGTCAAAGCTTGAAATGAACAAACTCCCCCTTCACTGTGCTGGTCTATGCGCGACACTGCTATGAAAAACTCCTCAGCTGCAAACATCAATAATAAGGACATCAACCTTTTATCTCCTCATTAGTAGACTGTCAGGGAGGACCCACACCATCGCATCTGAATGGTTTACAAGCACACGGAGCAAGAAAGACGCAGGCCAAGGACAGTGGCTGCCCACATTACCTGCCTAACAGGGAAAAGCCACCTGTGTGACTGCACGCGCAGGTTGGCCTGAGAAGCCTGTCCCAGCAGTAGGTGTATTGCCCAGAACGGTAATTTTGCTGTTGGTAAAATAACCCGTTAAGGTAGCAAGAGCTACAAAGCCAGACACCCCAGACCCTCACCCGGTTAGGAAAAGAACACTTTTTGGGTATTTCACTTGACTTTGTAAGTTCATCGCTGTCTTGTTGGAAGTGAGAAAGGAAAAAGCCTTTATACTTGATACGCACAGCAGAGCAGGGATAAAGGTGTGTGTACCCTGGGCAGTCACTGACTGAAATAATTACTTGCCTTATAATAATCCACATTTCTTTCAGAACCTCTTTAAAAACTGCTTTTTATGTATGTTGAATTTTTCACGAGGATAAGTTAGATAATGGGACAGAAATCTCGTATCCACTACAACCACCACCATACTTAGTTTCTACGGTAAGCCACAAAGGCTAAAAGTAAATCAAATTGATTACATTTAATAAATGTAAAGATGAGCTTAAGAGACCCTATGATGCAAGTTGAAAAGGAAAAGACAGTCCCTGCCCTGAAAAGACCCCAGCATCTAGCAAGGAACAGGACAAAGACAAGGATATATGATTAAAAACGCATGTCTGGCCCAAAAGCTGTGGAGAGACAGGATTCTCTGAAACACGTCCCATGCCCTGACTCTAGTTATGCGAACATGCGCACACACAACGTCGATTTTCCAAGTTCTGAGGGAAAATTATTTTGAACCAACAATTCTCTACCTAGCTTAGCTCCCAAGTTTGAAGGCATAATAGACTTTTTTTTCTTTAACAGAAAAGGACTCAAAGTGAACTACCTGTGGATACTCTCTGAAAGAAAGTGGCATAGCAAAATACCAGAACAAGAAGACAGATGGCTTAAGTGGGACCTGATGTGTCTGCTGGATCCATAGCGGCACACAGGACAAACCTTCCTATTAACAAGAAGAGCTGCCAATGGATCACAAAGTAAAAATATATGCTATGCGTGAAAAACACATCTGCAAATGAGGAAGAAAAAATGTTACAATTTAATACTAGAAAAGGCAGATTTCAAGGCGAAAGCATCTGCTGAGAACACTTATAACAATGACGGGGCGGTTTACTCAGTGTTTGGTCAAACCTGGAAAAACAAAACTCCATGGATCACGTGTCTTTTTCTAGGTTTTGTCTTTTTCTAGGTTTTGTCTTTTTCTAGGTTTTGTCTTTTTCTAGGTTTTGTTTTTTATTAGTTTTTTAAAGACAGGGTCTCACTCCCGTCTCCCAGGCTGGAGTGTAGTGGCACTGCAGCCTCAACTTCCTGGGCTCAGGCGATCCTCTCACCTCAGCCTCCCGAGTAGCTGGGACTACAAGCACGTGCCACCACACCAGGCTAATTTTTTTTATTTTCAGTAGAGATGGTTTTGCCATGTTGCTCAGGCTGGTCTCGAACTCCTGGGCTCAAGGGATCCACCCACTCAGCCTCCTAAAGTGCCGGGATTACAGGCGTGTGCCTCTGCACCCGGCCTGTTTTTGGTTTTTAATTGTTTCTTCAGTCACTATAATCTATTCAGAAATAATCTATTTCTATTTCTTGAATTTTTAAAATTTCCAAATCTGAAAACTTAGATGAGTAAATGGCTTTCTGGGAAAATAAGAATTATCAAAACGAATCCCCAGGAGACAGAAAATCCAAGTAGATAAAATAACAAATAGCAGCCTGAGGAAGCCAGCAAGGGGCAACCGTCCCTACAAAAAAAAAAAAAAAAAAGTCACTTTGGCCAGACCTGTAAGGACCAGCTGCCTCCAGGGCTACGTTAACTGTTCCACAGCCTAGGAAAAGGAGGAAAGCTCCCAAATTCTCCATGAAGCCAGCACTCTATTACCAAAGCCTAAAGCTGAGAGCACGATCGAAGAAAACTACATATCCGACTGAAATATCAAGAACAGACTCCACAGCAAGATGCCACAGACAAGGGAATCAACAAAAAAACCACCTGGTCATGTCCACGGAGGCCGAAAGAAATGGGATGAAACGTCACACCCATCCCAGATGTGGCAGTGAGGCACTGCCCACCACCATTATTTCACATCGCTTTTTAAAAACTAGACACAATTAGACAAAAGGAAAAAACGAAAAGTAAAAAAATGGAAAGAAGTGGGTAGACTTCTCATTAGTGAGAAGGGACAGTCCCAGAGAATTCAGTAACACAGAGTCAAAGATAAATTTATATGCTAAAATCTAGTTTAAAAAATAGAATCAAAGAAAATGTCCCATTTGTAACAACAGTTAGAGGCAAAATACTCTATAGTAGTTTTCTCAGCTTGGAGCTCTACCACATATATTATACAAATTATAGAGGGTGCAAAGAGTTAAACATAATTAAACTATAAAAATATTCAAAGGAGGACAGCCTTTCGAAACAAAGTACAGAAGGTGAAAAAAGGGTTTAACTTTTTCCTGTGGGGGCAGGGAAAAATCAGAAAGTCAGTCCAATGATAAACTAAGGAAAATGTTTGCAACAAAAAGGGCTAATGTCTTATAATAAATGCCTTCAAATCAGTAAAGACTGACAACCCATTATTAAATCGAGAGAAAAGATAAGAAAAAGCAATTCACAGAAAAATACTAATGGCTTTTCAACACGTGTAAGATGTTTAAGTTTACTGGTAATAAGATAAATTACACAGTAAAACTACAATGCAATGCCACTTTGTCACCGATCTCCCCAGCAAAGGTGAAGTGTGGTAACGCCCTACGAGGCACTGTGTGGCAGGGAGTCGTGGACAGGTAGGTACTCCTAGACAGCTGAGGCAAGCACAAATCCTTCTTTGGGGAGTGACTTGGCAATATCCAACCAAACACCACATGCACCTCACTTCTGAGCCGGCAATTCCACTTCAAGGAGGTAGCTACACAAGTGTCCACATACACGCAAGGCCAGTCACCAAAGCACTGACCTTAGTTGCAAAAGAGGCTTCTGTTTCAGACAACATGTTGACGGTTCCACTGCAAAACGCTTAAAAATGCTGGCCAAGTAGATAAAATAACAAATAGCAGCCTGAGGAAGCCAGCAAGGGGCAACCGTCCCTACAAAAAAAAAAAAAAAAAACAAGTCACTTTGGCCAGACCTGTAAGGACCAGCTGCCTCCAGGGCTACGTTAACTGTTCCACAGCCTAGGAAAAGGAGGAAAGCTCCCAAATTCTCCATGAAGCCAGCACTCTATTACCAAAGCCTAAAGCTGAGAGCACGATCGAAGAAAACTACATATCCGACTGAAATATCAAGAACAGACTCCACAGCAAGATGCCACAGACAAGGGAATCAACAAAAAAACCACCTGGTCATGTCCACGGAGGCCGAAAGAAATGGGATGAAACGTCACACCCATCCCAGATGTGGCAGTGAGGCACTGCCCACCACCATTATTTCACATCGCTTTTTAAAAACTAGACACAATTAGACAAAAGGAAAAAACGAAAAGTAAAAAAATTGGAAAGAAGTGGGTAGACTTCTCATTAGTGAGAAGGGACAGTCCCAGAGAATTCAGTAACACAGAGTCAAAGATAAATTTATATGCTAAAATCTAGTTTAAAAAATAGAAAAAAATACAATTTAATACTAGAAAAGGCAGATTTCAAGGCGAAAGCATCTGCTGAGAACACTTATAACAATGACGGGGCGGTTTACTCAGTGTTTGGTCA